ACTGGTTTGGCTCGTGGATAGAGCGTCGGCCTGCGGACTGAAGGGTCCCAGGTTCGATTCTGGTCAAGGACATGTACCTTGGTTGCCAACATATCCCCAGTGGGGGGTGTGCAAGAGGCAGCTGATCGATGTTTCTCTCGCATCAATGTTTCTAACTCTCTATCCCTCTCCCTCCCTCTCTGTGAGATAAATCAATGAAATATATTTAGAGAGAGAGAGAGAGAGAGAGAGAGAGAGAGAGAGAGAGAGAGAGAGAGAGATATGTCACTCAAAAGAGGGGTGACATCTTGGCCTGGAGTGCAAAGGAGGAGACGGGCATTGCTGGAATCCGGATCCGGGTGGTCAGAGCCCACGCACTGGCTGCGGGGGCTCAGAGGGCAGGAGTCTGGCCCACGAACCCAGCTCAGGGAACATCCAGCGGAGTGGGAGGCCACGGGCTCAGTTTGGGACGTTGTAAGCTGCTCTGTGTTCCAGCTGCTCTGTCATCTCGCAAAGAGCATGCAAATAAGGTGGGACTGGGCTCCGATAAACGTGTATCTACTACTCAGAGGTATTCCTGGTCCAGACTGGTCCAAACTGCCTCGAGGGTAGAGAGCTGCAAAGGTGGCGAGAGGAATGAGAGGTAATTTTTTAAAGATGTGACCAGTGGGAACAGGAAAACGAGCGTTTAACCCTTGGTACCCAGTTGCTCTGGTTAAAAGTGGTTCGTTCTGGAGGGGAATGTGGAGGCGGAGGGGGGTCCTGCTCATTTATACCTCCTGCCCGTTTTAATTTTTATTACCACGAACATTATTAATTTCATAACCAAAAATTGGCACGCATTTCTAACGTCGTTTTTAAAAATCACAAGACTAAGAAGAATGCAGTGGATTTCTATGCTCTTACATAGACGAATGTCCAAGATAATAAAAGACTTAAATTACTGATATGTGTCCTAACCGATTTGGCTCAGTTGATAGAGCATCGGCCTGCGGACTCAAGGGTCCCAGGTTTGTTTCTGGTCAAGGGCATGTACCTTGGTTGTAGGCACATCCCCAGTAGAGAGTGTGCAGGAGGCAGTTAATGTTTCTCTCTCATTGATGTTTCTAACTCTCTATCACTCTACCTTTCTCTCTGTAAAAAATCAATAAAATATATTTTTAAACCAATTCCTGAGATGTAGGCCGTACTTCTCTCCATGGACCTGCATCCATGTGTCTGTGGATTTGTACACAGGAAAAAGCCTGGGGGGGGGGGGGGTAGGTATAACCTCCCAGGGGCTACTACCCAAGAGTGAGGGTGGGGAGGGGCCTTCGCCAGGAAATTTTCACCTTTTACCATAAGGTACACTCCTCGCAGCTCTTGCAGACTTTGAAAAGTACCTACCTGTGTTTTAACTTAAGGTTATGGCCTTCCCTACACTTGTCTTCAGTTCAGCTTCACATCATCCAAAGAGGAGTAAAATCAATAGGCAATAGAAACTTTCCAGTCCTCCTTCTCTCTTACCCCTGCAAGGAGTGACTAGGGGACTCTACTGATGGCAGACTCTGTTAAAGTTGTTTTCTCCATAGAAGTGTCAAAATGTACGCGTGTTGTTTTTGAAGTTAAGCATGACGCTTACAAGAAAACAGAATGAACACATGACGAGAGTGACTTCACTCATGAATAAGAGAACCACCAGGAGGGTAAACAGGCATTTGGGAACTGAACGTTCACGGTCAATGAAGAAACAATTGGGAAATGAAGTTACCAGGTTAGAACCCAAACTTTCCAAAGCCCTGGGGGTTCTCGTTTCCACCATTACAAAACCCACGTGCGTCTCATCTGGACAAAAGCCTGCCAGTCGTGTGTCATCTCGCAGAGCCTGGGCCCCCATTAAGAGCAAACAGGAAAATCCCAGGAAGACACAGCCCCCTGGGTGGCTCCGAGGCTGGGCTCAGTGTAAAACTGAAAGAAGAGGAATTCTCCCTTTGCCTTATTTATAACTGTTGGATATTTTTCTTAACATAAGATACACATTTACATATTGGCAGCTGCAGCTTTCAATTTTCCAAATGCACTTTGCTCTTCATATTAATCTCCTTTTCACCATCTTTCGTGTCTGTTTTCAATCAGGAAGGAAAATAATGTTCCGTTATTAAAATGAAATGGATTTTAGCATTATGTTGATAATCACCTGGATGGCACTAAAATGTCCATGGGCTATTTAGACTGTATCGGGGCCCAAAAAAAAGGTCACATATCTCTTCGAGCTGATGGCAGCCACAACAAAAACCTGTGGATACATCCTGTTTATATGGATTTGGAGCCCAGCTTCGGGCAAGTTCCTGAATTTCTTAGCCTCGGCTTCCAATTTCTGTGAAAAATAAGACTTCGCAGCGCTGCTGACAGATCCAAAGGCAGATGCTACTTCTGCGCTCCTGTCTCACTGTGTGCCTGCCGCCACTGGCCATCGCTCCTGCTGTTGGCCTTCCTGCCGGTCTCCGTGGTTGATCACTTGTCTTTTGCCGTGTGGGTGTGTAGTTACCTTCTTGTGAGGTTAACAAACATAAGCTGTTTTTTCCATCTTGCCCATTGCTTTGTTTCACCCCCGAAGTTCAATCGTGTGTCTCATCCTTCTCTCCTATCTGTAGAGAATGCCATGGTCTTCTGGTGACCCCCAGCATTCACTAGGACTTTTAACAAGTCTCTCTCCCGCTCTGACTTGATGCCATTTTTAACTGGAATCCGTCTCCCATAACTATCACTTTTTTTTTTAGAAACGCAGAAAACACCACCACGTGGAATTATGTAGAAGCTGTGACATTACACACTTAGCTCACACAGCCCACTGCTGATTAGTTCTTCACTTGCCTCTTGAAAAAACTAACCCATGTGTCTGCCAACAGTTTGTTTTTGTAAACAACCTGTTCACTCAAATACATTAAGATGCCGTAAGGAGAAATATGACAACGTCAGAGCTGCAGCGGGAGACTGAACACAAGTTTCTATTTCTAACCAGAGGTCCTCAGGGGAACCAAACTGGAGTGTGTGTGTGTGTGTGTGTGTGTGTGTGTGTGTGTGTGGTTGGGTATTCGAAAGTACTCTCCCATGTAGTTTTTAATTCACCTGAAACACCTTCATTAAACACAGCTTGCCTGCAGGAAGACTGAGACCCATAAAGCTTAAAAAATACAGAAACTCTGAATATATTTAGAACCATGAATTACACACTTTTAATGGATGAACTATGTGAAGTGTACCTCCGTAAAGCTTTTTTAATGGCACAGAAAGAAGAAAAAGACGAGTAAACAGTCAAGTCATTATAGTTTATGTAATTGCTGTAAACATTATCATCTCAAATCGCTGTTACTTATGTAAAACTGTTTTCATTGCTCAACTGATCTGTTTTTATGTCTGTAAAAAGCATTTGGGTATCTGGGGCTAAATGGGATTCATCATTTTTTCCAATTAAAAAGTATTGGAAATATTTCTTCACTCAGTGACTTTTGACTTCGCTAAGTATTTTCAGGGACAGATTACAGGATTAAGCAAGAGATGGGTTTAATTACTGGAAGCATAGAGTTAAGTTTGATTCAGAGATGAGTAGATGAGTATCAGTGTTAATACTGAGCTGATTTGCCCTGGGTGGCAGAGCTGAAACATAGTCTGTTTGCTGAGAAAGCAAAGGGCGAGGGGCCAGATGATAGATGGTGTAAAGAGGGCCGAGAAGCCAGTGAAAGACAGCAGAAAAACAAGGCAAGTTTTAGAAAAGGCAACTAGACCATGACTAAAGCTAACGTGGAATGTAGTTATCTATCTCACCAACCAGACCAGTTTGCTATCACAAAGTCAGCCAATTGGCTTAATTCAGCTCCAGATTTCAGAAAAAAGATGGGGGGGGGGGGAGAAGGGAGAGAGAACTACATGCAAGTTAAGTAATTTTCTAAGCTCAAAAGCAACGTAAAGCCACTTAGTCTCTCTTACCTTACTTTGTGAAAGATGAACCTTGTAATAAATCAGAATTTTCAGCCTTGTTTTCGTGAGAAAAAAACTGGAAAACAATATACTTTGGGTGCTTTTCTAGTAGAAAAAGGAATGTGGGCAATATGAATGCTAGCAAACTTAGATATAAGGCATATATCAAAGGTGTTACTTAGACAATTAGAAATTTAGAACTGCAATGTGTATGCCTAAACTTTTGAAGATAAACGATGAAAATATTCTTTAGTTATTGCCAGTAACTTGAGACAAAAAAAAATAAGAGAAAAAAAGTGTCTGAGTTCTAACCAGGAAGTGCTGACAGTGAACTTCACTAATTTTTTTTTTCTGATAAAGGATGGAGAAACATTGAATAACAAATTCAACAACCCAAATAAAATTTCTTGGGTTTTTTTGTTGTTGTTGTTCGGTTTTTGTTTTTTTTCTTTTTCATATTATATCTGATCCTAGTCAGGAGAAGAAAAAAGAGAATATGATCCAAGAGAAAATAGTTATGAAGCATATTTAAGTATTTGATGTTTGTGATAGAATAGCTTGAAGCTCCCGCAGGGTCTTGGGACGTTGCTTTTTATTTTATTTTTTTTAATATATTTTTATTGATTTCACAGAGGAAGGGAAAGGGAAAGATTGGAACATCAATGATGGGAGAGAATCATTGATCGGCTGCCTCCTGCACACCCCACACTGGGGATCAAACCCACAACCCTGGACATGTGCCTTGACTGAGAATCGAACTAGATGCTCAACCACTGAGCCACGCCAGTCCAGCAGGAACTTACTTTTTAAATGAAAGTTTTCTGAAGGGAGATTTTTGTACATTTTAATGTAACTTTATACATTCTTTTATAACAAATGAAAAGATAAATTCTATTGGAAAATGTGAATAATTCCAGGAATATTGAGACTTTTCGTTTCCTTTCAAACCTCGTTTCCTTTTAATATTCATCCACCTACAGCCCAAATTCTTCTTGTATTTTGCCAGCTGGTCTTTATTAGCTACAAACTGGGTGATTATTTCTGCTTCATGAGATCCCTTAAACTCAAAAATAAAATGAAATGTAAAAACGTTCCAAGCTGATCGATGGAGGTGACTGCAATGAGAAAGCCACAGAAGTCCCTCTACGCCTTTCACCGGGCTGGGCCACTTCCACCCGGGACAGTTTCCACAGCAAAAACTGCCAGCACCCAGGATGCAGGATGGGCGTCTCTGAAAGCCAAACCTCACCGAGAAAAACATCAAAAATGTAGATGGCATGGCTGCCTAGGGGTTGTTCTCCCATCAGCTTCATGGCACCCACTCGTTTGTTGGCAGCGTCCAGGTAGAACAGATGTGTTAAAGCTTTATATTTACTAAGTGCTTTCATCAGCTCCTCGCCTCCCTGTCCACCTCCGTCCCCCTCCCAGTTTATTCTGTGAAGAGTGTGAACAGTGTTTGACTTTCAGTAAGGGTTCAGTACATGTTGACGATGACATTACTGTCATTATCTGCAGACAAAAAATTATGCTCACATATGTAATACCTTAATCAATAAAGAAATTTAAAAAAATAAATAAAAATTAAAAACGTTTAGCTAAAACAAAAAACAAACAAACAAAAAAGAAAATGATGGCCAATATTTAAATCCTAACCTGCCTTTATCAACGATTTTTAGAGAAAACCAGTGTAAGCTGAATTCTTTCAAATCGCTCTCCTGTAGGACATTTGTTTTTTTTTTAACCCCAAGTGATACATCTCTCTTTCTCGCTACATAAAGTAGCTTCACTCTCAAAGCTAATGCCACGGGGAGAACGTGGGCAGAGGAATCTTCTAGATTAAAAGAACTCAAAGAATGAAGGCCTGGGGTAGGGCAGGGGTGGGGAGACAGGGAGCGAAGGTGGGGAAAATTGGGGACATCTGTAACACAGTCAACAATAAGGAAAAAAATGTTTCCAAGAACTCCAAGAGACATAACAAAATGCAATGTAATTTGATTAACTCCAGATCCACAAATAAAAATCTGCACAATACATTTTGGAAACAATTGGTAAAGTTAGAATTGAGGCTGGGTACGGATTATACCATAGAACTGTTAATTTTATTAGGTATTATAATGGCATTATGGCTATAGAGGGGGGTGTCTCTATTCTTAGAAGATGCAGGCTAAAATATTATTGGGAAGCATTATGGTGTCTGAAACTTATTTTTCAATGGTTCAGCAAAATGTCATATATTTAAAAATAGAGAAAAAGCAAGTGTGAAGCAAAATTTTAATGACTGGTGAATCTAAAGAGTGTTTACTGTATTATACTTCAACTTTCCTATATATATAAATTTTATAAATAAAAAATTGGGAATAAAAATATAGCAAAAAATTATTTTACTAAAAATATCACACATTTCTTTACATATTTTACTGTAATCATATACAATTATGCATTGTTATTACTTACTTATACTTTATAAAAAGCATATTTATTCATTATAAATACTTAATCTGAAATTCACTACCTTAAACCAACTATTTAACTTTTAGTGCTCATGAATGAATCTCTTTATCTTGATATAAATCAAAATCACTCAACACCTACTTTAAATAAGAGACCGGGAGACGCCAGCTGTATGGATCGTGAATTAATATTTCAAAGTTAAATTTTTTAATAGTTTCTTCTTTGCTTTTCTTCTTTGTCTAGCATAGTCTGCTTTAAGCTCAAAGTCGCATCTTGAAATCCAGGATTTAAGTCTAATACTTTCTTGAAATCTTCCAAAGCATCATCAAAGTATCCTGTACCAGAATAAAAAAAAAAAAATGGGAGGGAGAGAAGCAGCTGAGTATTTTCTTATATAATTCGTAGCAAAGTTTGGATACACATACTTTTATATTTATAAGCTTTCAACCCCTTCTACTGAAGAAATTTTTCCTCTTAATAATGACATAGGAATGTCTACATCAAAATAAGTGTGTCTGCCCTTCCAGAATAATACTTAAAATTAGCTAGGGGTTTACTTATTAAGATTTAACAAGTAAATGGCATAAATCATCATGAAATCTCAACAAAATTACATTACCTGTTTTAAATAATTACAGTAAAATTAGGCAAGGAGATACTCTTTCTAACCCTTTAAAATAAGAAAACAGTACCTTGATTCCAAGGGTTTATTTTTTTTAATATATTTTATTGATTTTTCACAGAGAGGAAGACAGAGGGATAGAGAGTTAGAAACATCGATGAGAGAGAATCACCAATCAACTGCCTCTTGCACACCCTCTACTGGGGATGTGCCCGCAACCAAGGTACATGCCCTTGACCGGAATCGAACCTGGGACCTTTCAGTTCACAGGCTAACGCTCTATCCACTGAGCCAAACTGGTTTCCGCTGATTCCAAGCATTTAAAACTCCTTCACTTTACCTCGTCTCCTGTGCCTTCAAAGATTTTAACTCAGAAAAGTTTCCCAGGTGATCACCAGCATTACCCTCAATTTGCCTTTGGGGAGGTGCAGGCACAGAGTAATGGGGTGACCCTCCCTCCATTACCACGTCCAACTCCCCCCCCCTGCGGGCCGCTGTGGTCTGTAATGCCTATTGAAAGCTTAAAATACACTCAGAACAATCCTGTTCCAGGCTCCCGACCTAAATTCAGCCTGACTTCTACGGCTTAACGATCACTGCCTTCGTTTTTACAGCCTTCGGGAGCTCTCCGGTCAGCAGGCACCACCAGGCACCCAGGAGGACAGGGGCCTTACCCAGCCTGTACAGGACCAGCCCTCGGTTGTAATAGGGAACCTCGAAATCGGGCTGGATTCTTATGGCCGACGTGTAGTCCTCCATGGCTTCGTAGAAATCAACCCTGAAGTACTTGATCTGCCCCCTGTTGTTGTACGCAGTGGCCAAGTCCTCGGGGCTGCATTCGCTTCAAACAAGAAGTGCACGTGAGAAACACCGCTTTTCCTCCCAAACCCCTCCCAGCTCCACCCTCCCTCTCTTGGGAGGGAAAACAGTGGCTCCCTTCTGCCTAACCGGCTGTCTGCCATCGGCAGGGTTTAGTGTCACCATCCATCGGAAAAGCACATTCACTGCTCAAAGGCCCTGTTCACTGCCAACTCGTCCGGCTGAAATCCAGCAGCAAACTCACTGTCCGTTCTCAGCACCTGCCAGCAGGGCCACGGCAGGCCGGAATTCACACTGAGCGAGGAGGGAGGCCAGAGCTGGAGTTGGCTACCAACACGTGGCAAAGGTCACCATCAGCTTTGCCCTCAAATGTTTACGCGATCCCAGAAACATGAGGCCTTAAGTCATTTCCGCCGATATTGAGTCTGAGTGAGAAGCCAGCTCGCTGACCCCAGGGCGTGCCTTCTGGGGATAGAGCGGCCCTCCCTGCAGCCTGGCTGGGACCCTCCCCGAGGCCAGGCAGGCTTCCCGCTAGAGCAGCGGTTCTCCGCCTTCCTGATGGCCCGGCCCTTGAATGCAGCTCCTCATGCGGTGGTGACTCCCAGCCAGAAGGCTATTTCCGTCGCTACTTCATCACTGTCATTTCGCTCCTGTTAATGATCGTAATGTAAATATCTGTGTTTCCCGATGGTCTCGGGCTCCACAGCAGCGGTTCTCAACCTGTGGGTCGCGACAGTAGGGTGTCCTAAGACGGGGAAGCCTGTCCTGTCCATCCGAGCAGGATGTCCGGAGCCTGCAGAAACCCAGCGCAGGCCGCAGCCCTGAATGCACTTCTGCATGAGGGGCCCGAGCGCAGAAACGGCTGCTGGGCTGTTATCAATCTGAGCCCAATTAGCCACCAGGACCCCTTCTTAGCAGGTGTCTTTTTCTGAGGGATTGCAAGGGGGTTGGGGGTGGAGGGGGGGAGCATGGAGGAGATCTGATGTGCACCCTGGCTTGAACCATCTGCAGAAAACCAACCAACCAAAACAAAACAAAACAAACAAACAAAAACCCCTCTATCAGTAAGGCTCCAACCCTGCTGGGCATTTGCTATGAAGGAATTATGTGATAAAGACAGTGCGGTTGTGCCTTAAGAATCCCGAATACTGAGAGGGACGCTTGAAACGCCCACAGATCGATAGCATGAGTCTGCCTACAGGGGTGACCCCGAAGCCGGACCAGGAGGACCTGGAGGGTCACTACCCTGTGTTCCTGGCATTTATGTGCATTGTCCTCGCAGCACCCGAGGAGCCAGACCCTGCTGTGCCCCCATGGCTGGGACCCCGCCGCTCCTGGCGGGCGGGAAGGCGCTTTCCGCTCGGGGTCCCCCGGGGAGAGGGACATCACGACGCTCAGTGTCCCCACAGCCCCCAGGGCGCCGCAGAGCACGCCGGGGCCTGCGCCCCCGACGCCCCGCTCCCGCCCCGCCGCCCCCGCGGCTGAGCCCGCGCCGCCCCGGAGCTCAGAGGCCCGGCAGAGCGGCTGCGCGACCCCGGCGCCCGCCCGGGAGGACGCCGCCGCCCACTTCTCGCGATAGTTACCTGCCGGGCGGCGCCCCCGCGGCGGCCGCGCAGGCGCACTGGCGGATGTACGCGGAGTACAGCGCCTCGGCCTCGGCGTGCTCGCCGCTGGCGAAGTGGGCCTGGGCGAGGCGGAGGGTGGCGCGGGCTCCAGGCCCCGGCGGCCCCGGCGGCCCCGACATCGCCGCGCTCCGAGGTCCGGCCTGCGGGGTGGAAGGCGGGCGGATTTCAGAGGCGGAACCGCGAAGCCACTTCCGGGCCCGGAACGTGCCCTCCGCGGCGGGGCGCGCTGGCTGCCGGGAGAGCGGGGACCGGCCCCGGGGAGCGCGGGTCCTTCGTTACCGTTAGTCCCGCCGGCCGCGTCCCCGGAGAGGAATAGGCCCAACTGGCGCCCAGCCTCGCGCCCCAGTGCTGCGAGGAGCTGCCCTTTGTTACAATGAGAGGGGGGGAGGATAGATGGGGGAGCTGTGCCGGAAGCGGAAGAAACCTCGGTTTTTTTTTGGAATGGGAGAGGGTAGCACCTATGGGGTTTCAGCGTCTACCACCCCCCTCCCCACCCTTACCCCCCGCAAAACACCCCAGTCCTGAGCCACTTTGGGTGGAATCCCACTCACTTAGTTGTCCCATGGTCCAGATCCGAATTCAAACTGTTTACTAGCTCCGAGACCATAGATTACAAACTTCTCAACCCTTTTGAGCCTTTGGGATAGTATAAAGGTTAATTAAATAGTAGTTTGTGCCGACAGTCTGTGGTCTGTTATTTTACATTCCTTGACTTTTTAGGCCAAAAGGAAACCCACGTGGTAATTTAAATTGTTTAATTCAAGGAAAAGTTATGTAAAATGAGTAATCCAAAGGAAATTTAAAAAAAAACATCAAAAAGAATAAAATACTTAGGAATTAATCAAGGAGGTAAAAGACATAATGAAATTTTGCAGAAAATAAAGACATAAATAGACTTCCCATGTTCATGGGTTGTAAAACAATATTTTAAACATGCAATCGTAGATTCAATGTAATCCCTCAAAACCCCAATGATGCATTTACAGAAATAGAGAAATCCATTCTAAATCCATATGGAATTTCGGGGGATTCCAAAGTAGCCAAAATGATCTTGAAAAAGAACAAAGTTGAAGGACTCATGCTTCCTGATTTAAAATCTTAGTGCAAAGTTATAGTGATCAGAATCGGGTGGCATTGGCATAAGGCAGTCTTCTCAATAAACGGTGCTGGGGAAACTGGATATCTACATGCAAAAGAATGCAGTTGATCCTAACCTAACACCATATTTAAAAATGAACTCAAAATGGATTAACGACCTAAATATAGGAGCCAAAAATACAAAATTCTTAGACAAAAACCCTCATGACATTGCATTTAGCAATCTTGGATACGACACCAGTGGCACAGACAACAAAAGGAAAAACAAGTTGGACTTCTTGGAAATTAGAAACTTCTGTACAACAAAAAGGCTATCAACAGAGTAAAAAGATAGCCCCAAGAAGGGGAGCAAACATCTCTGGAATCATGTATCCGGTAAGAGTGGGGAATGCAGAGATGGAGATTCTGTGGGGCAGGCTGGTGGGCGTGTCCATCTACTCATAGAACACACTAGGGATTCTGACATGGTGTCCCCATCACACTTGAGAAGCTCTGGTCTACAGGACACTGGGGGGTCGTGCCCGTGACAGAGATGCTGGGGCCAGCTTCAATGGCGGTCCCTCTCCAACTCGCATGCCCGTCTTCCACAGAGTCCACCCACACTGGTACTTTGCCTGCAGAGTGGCATCATCAAGCCTTCCCTCCGCCAGCTCACCCAGAAATACAACTGAAACAGGATGATCTGCAGACAGTGCTGTGCTTGCTGCAACCCCATGCAGTCAACTGCCCCAGGAAGTGTGGCCACACCAACAACCTGTGCCCAGCGAATAAAGTCAAATGAGGCTCTTCCTTCCCCACAGGGGGGCCTTCTTCCTGAGCCCCCAGGCCCTAGGGCCTCAATGAAACTTCCATTTTGTTGAGTGGAGCAGCAAAAAGTAAAATAATTTAAAAACAACGAACACATATTCATACATATGCACACAGGCAAACCTACCAGTTACATTTCCATAATATATATGGAGCACTTCTAAAACTCAACTTTTCCCAAGTTGGTGTACTGTTTTGCATTTCCACCAGCAACATATAAGGGTTTCAATTGCTCTATATCTTCACCCGCACTTGTCAGTTTTAATTCTAAATAGTATAGTGATTATTTTAAAAATGAATTGAGAAAATAATAAGAATACACAGAAGGGGGCAGCATAATATTGCTATTTGCATTTTAGAAACTCGGTAGTAATATCCTGGAGCTATTTAATCTTCATCAAATTAAATACTCTTGATTTTCTCTTAAAACTCTAGTAACCTAATTTTCCTCCTCTCCCCCATTTCTAAATGAGAACTCTGTGTGGCCTCTAAGGAGGAATGCACTCTCACCTCCAGTCACCTGATAATTGCCTAGTACCCTAATAGGTGGTGGTGATCATGGTTTCTCCAGTTTGCTAGCAAAAGTGATATTACACATGCATTATACCTAGGACCCTTTTTTCCCTTATCCATGCTGCAACCTAAACACCCCCCTAACTAACCCCCACGAAAACATTTAAATTAACAAATACCATGTTATCCATAATTCTAGATAAAAGAAACAAGATAAATGCAACTCATTTTTTACTTTAATATTTATTAATTTCATATTATTTCACTTAATGCCACATAAAACCAAAGATCTCGGCCCCTGAAATACAAAAAAATATAATTTCAAAGTGTGCTTTAAAAAAAAAAAACGTCTAATACAGTCACTCGTGCAGGACAGCAGGCGGGTCAACAATGCTGTGTTGCCTTTGGGCATAGTGCCTACTTGTTTAGCTTTACATTAGGTTCTGTCATCTCAGTACTTTGGCTTACCATGCGACTTTGAAGCTTCACATAGTTCAGACCAAGTTATATGATAAAGCATTACTTTAAGGGATTTATTACAAGAACAGAACAGGACTCTTTCCTATACTATCTATAATATACTACCTCTATCCAACTTCTTTCCAAGTATTTGTTATAGACAATTTCATTCCTATGCCCCTTTCACCATGGGAGAGTTTGTTGTTGTTGTCCTGAAAAATCCTTCACGTTGAATAAAACCAGTTGGGTCAACTTATGCTGTGGTCCTTCCTCTAGCACCATTTTCAAGACAGACAAGGTCCCAAAAACATGGCAGGGCAGTAAAACTTTCACAGATATATATCCCAAACAACATAATGAAGTCTATAAGATGTTATTTTAGAGATTTTGGTTTCTATATTAAACTGAACAAGAAGACAGCCACTCAGGCTCTATCAGAAATAATAAACTGGAGGAAAATTAACTGGAGGAAATAATAAAATAATTAACTGGAGGAAAATTCAGGCATGGTTGAACTAGTAGCAAAGGAGAAAGCCCCAAGAGAGAGTTCCCAATAGATGTGTTAGGAAAGGCTTGAGGAGTCAATAGCTGATTTTGAACTTGAAGCAAATTGTTTAACCTGCCCCACTCCCATGGTGCTTCTATACCCTCTCCAAGACTTTTTGGTGACTTAGTAATCTTGACACTATGAGAAAAAAATTTCTTATTCAGAATATTTCCATAGTATCATGTAACCAACCACAAGATAGACAGATGAAAGACAGACATGAAATAAGATTGACTTCCATGTTTTATATGAAAATCAGCATCATTATTTTATAGTCATAGTGTAACACAAAATTATATACATAATATGTATATGTGGATATAATATAGATATTATATATATATGCACAATTTATAATTTGTGTCAAAATACAACTATGAAATGAAGATGCTGATTTTCATATAAAATGAATGGAAGTTGACTTTATTATGTACATAGTTATAGCTACGCATATGCTGGTATGTGTTACAGTTACACATGACTTGTCGTTCCTTTATCCCACTGCACTGTGGCATAAGGGACAGAAGTTGTAGTTACTGATCTCCTGGGCCAGCACGCAGTGCTTGCATACGCTGCACATCCAGAACTGGTACTCGGTGATGGGGCTGCCTGTGGCAACACACGTCGGCAGCTTCCCTTTCCCTCTGTGAACATAAGAGGAAGAACAAATAATTATACTCCAAAGCTTCTAATTACTTAAAACGTTCTTACATTTAAACACTGAGGAATAATACCGAAACCTGTTTGGCTCAGTGAATAGAGCGTCAGCCTGTGGACTGAAAGGTCGCAGGTTCCATTCCGGTCAAGGGCATGTACCTTGGTTGCAGGCACATCCCCAGGAGGGAGTGTGCAAGAGGCAGCTGATAGATGATTCTCTCTCATCGATGTTTCTAACTCTCTATCCCTCTCTCTTCCTCTCTGTAAAAAATCAATAAAATATATTTAAAAACAAACTGACGAATAGAAAATATTTCAAGGTAAACTTAAAAACTTTTCTGACTGTGAGAAAATAAAGCATTAATATACTTCTAAGACTAAATAAAATAGGGTATGATGTTAAGGTAACCTACTTCAAAACTTAGTGCTCTGACTACTGCTAGTATATCATACTATTATACATATAGAAATCCAAATTTCTAAAAAGGTAGAATGACACTAATTACAATTAGCCATACCCTTTATGAAGGTTGTCCAATTCCGATTTCCTGTTATCTTTTGGGGTGTGTTTGGTAAAGATTTCGATAGCAAGATCTTCATACTGCTGTCTCTGCTCGGGACTGAGGCTCTCTAAAGACTCGAGTTTAATAAAGGCTTTTGAACAAGTCCCGAAGGCCTCGCTGGCACAAGCACAGAGTGCCAGCAGAGAGTAGATCTCCACGGCAGGGATGATGTCCTCATAGTCCCTCAGGTGAAGAGCTGGGGAAGAAAGAGCAACATGGATTTTGCAAAGCATTTCTATCTCTTGGCGCGTGGGAGAAAGAACCTGTGCTGAGCTGTCTGTTTTCCCTATGCCAGTGTTTCCCAAACCTTTGACACATGTGTACCCCTTCTATAATTAAATGCTGAGTACCTCTTGTACTCATGAGAACGAAGAATTAGGCGCAGCTAAGCACGGTGCAGTGCATATCCCCACCAAACTCCGGTGCAACGCGTACCCCCACCAAACTCTTCCCGTACCCCTGGGGGTACGCCTAC